TGTGTGTTTGCCATCTGAGAGAACTGGCTCCACCAGAAAACAGATGACTCACACAGTTTGAGGTTGAACTGTGTCCCGAGCGTCAACGCTTTCACTCCTGCGCTCTAATGTGTTTCGTATGTTGCTGATGCAGTGGGCCCGCTGATCCCCGAGATTGGACTGATAAGGCCTTAGCCTTCATCCCCACAGTCAGTCACCTGCCCTGATAAGGGCCGAAGCACCAAGCAACAGGGGCGGAACCTAACACTGCTGATAGCATCTCCTCGGCAAATCCCAGGACACGGGAATGTGTGGAAGACACAGGAGGACAACATGGTACAGAACACAAAATATACACTCGGCGAGAGAAAGAAAACAAGACCGAGAAGAGAGGCTGGAACGGACGCACATACAGTACACCACAAGCTGCTCTCCTCTCTCTCAGACGCACACAAAAATGTGCACATGCATACCAGCCCCCAACCTGCATCCACCATCTGGCCTTCCCAAGGCTCAGATGTCTCTGGGGTAAGGTGAGCAGTGAGGGGGACTTTGTGTGTGCGTATGCATTATGTGCATGTGTGAGTGTGTGTGCGTTATGTGCATGTGTGTGTGTGTGTGTGCATGAGCGAGAGAGAAAAAGAGAGATTGAGAATTCAGCGATCCTACTGTCCAACAGAAAATACGCACTACAGTATACAGTGTACTGCAATACGTGGAAAAGAACCTGCACAGACCACAGATTATTGCCACAGTGTCTCATTGACTGCATGCAAGCACAACACTTTCACATTAAAGGCGGTGCAACACATTTACAGCACTGCAGGTACATGAGCTGCAGGCAGGGGTTTTCACTCGGGGTCGTCATAGCTGAGTAGGCCACGTAAGCACACCTTAACACCGACTAGTCTTTTTCACTGTGGACAAAATAAAGCCTCCATTATGGGATGAGGCCACGTCTGCTGCCCCTGCCTGCCATAATGGCTTTAGCACTCTACTGACAACACAGGCACCCAAACGTACAATACACACACTGCGGTAAAAGAAGAAAAGTGGAAATTGAATTCTACTTCAGGTTGTCCCAGATCAGCAGTAGTGCCCGTGGCCAAAATACACTTGTACACTCATGAGAGCGCTCACACACGTAATCCTTCATGTCTTTTCGGTACTACCACCTCGACCCGTGGGCCTGTTTTGCGCTTACATTTTCATTCTTCTCTTTTCAAACCATTTGAAATAAGAGAGCAGGGGGAAAGGAGCAATCTCGCACACACATCCATTAGAGACTCAACAGGACTCTTTTCACAGACACAGCTGGTGAGCTCACATGGACGCACAACTCATAGAGCAGTGGAGAATTCATAACTCAACACTGAATTAGTCTCGCAAAGTCATTCTATATCACTAAGTGCTGTGTTTTCAATACTAGAATTAAGTCTGTGTAGCAAATGGTAATCTGGTTTCAGACCAGCTCCATGTCGGACCATCCCGAGCACCTGCAGTGCGTTTAGATGACGATGTGACTTGCCCCTCAGAAAAACAACAAAACATTTCAACTTGATGTGGAATATGTCAAATGAAGCACGATTTTGAAACTGCTGTTTTTTCAAGACAGATTTTTGTGGATATTATTCAAAATGATTTTACAATTTCAGCTTCCAGCTGCCCTGCTATAGGAACAACAAAAAAAATCACCAACAGAATACCAATAATGTGATACTTTATGAACCCAAGAGTCTGATTCTGACCTCTCCCACAGTGGGGTCAGAGCACCGGGTCAGCTATGAGACGGTGCCTCTGGAGATGAGTCAGGGTGTTGCTCAAGGAAACTTCAGCAGGGCAGCCAGTCTCTTACTCAGATGGAGGCTGGAACCTGCTCTTCAACACCAAGTCCTCTATCCTTTCAAATCAATATTCCACTCTCACGCTAATACTCCTTATTAATGTATACCAACGACGTGTGGTTCTGACCTCCATGACTATTATCTGATACTACAGCAATCATTAATATTGTTTATTCAGGAAGCTATAATATCCTACATTGCATCCCCTCGGCCCCTGAGGATGAAGCATTACTTTAGTATAGCACAGGTACTTAACACAACATCTTAAAGGACTGGTTACAGCACATTAGTAGTGATCTCTTATCATACTGAATGTTGGTCCTGCATGGGACTCTGAAGTGTCAGACAGCTGAGACAGCCCAGGGATCGTTTTCTTCCACGGTCTTGTTCAAATTGCAAGTCACTCATTTGTAAAACACAAAAAACTCTATATTTTCTGAAACTCGCTGACCTCCCTCCATCGGCCTCTCATCTTTTCTATCTGCCTCCCTCCCAGGTCTATCTTCCAACCGCTGTTTCATCCCTCCCCTCCGTTCCCCTAACCTCCACCACCCAGTTCCAGGCAGTTAAATGCACGGGCTTATCTAGGTCTAATTGGTTTAAGGGCAAAAAGAAATAAGCAATGGCTCTGTAAGTAGGGGAGAATCACTGCTGCTGTTGGCAAGAACCATCCGCACACCACGAAGAGAGAGAGAGAGGGAGTAGACGAGGAGCGCGGAGAGACAAGAGAGGAATGGGGGAAGATTAGTGACGAGAATTGTGGAAGACAGAGCAGGATGAAGAAATGAATGGGGAAAGGGAGGTGTAGAAATAAGTAGGCAGAGGGAAGATGATGGGGGGAAATGTAGAGAGAAGACAGACAAATGAAGGTGAAGCAGAGAGCTGCACATGCTTCTTTTTCTAATAGCATGCAAATCCCCGTCTTCCCTCTCCTCCTCTCCGTTAGCCCTTTTGTTTCGGTCTGACTGCCTCTCCAATAACTTGTCGGCAAATGCACTTTTGTTTGCAGATATCATGACTTCGTGTGTGAGGGATTTTGTGCCAGCGTGTGTGTGTGTGTGTGTGCGCTGGGTAGCTGTGCCTAGAGTTTAAATCCAACAACTTTGAAGTCCTATAATTAACATTACACTCAAACTGTTTTGGTCCATCACCGCACAAACATGCACCTTTACACTCGCCACCGCGTATTTAAGCTTCAATTCTCCATCTCATTTGTCTGTGATGCTAAACTGCCTCCCATCTATTCATCCCCCCGCGTTTGTCAGGTCATCAATTATGTGGTGTGTTTACTGTGAGTGTAAGCATGTGTAAGGAGGTCAAATAATTTGTTCATTTCATGGAAAGTATGTGTCCATATGGTCACGGCTGCTCCTTACTATAAAGTAACAAACACACACACACGCACACAGATCGCTGACACTTTGTGATTATTGGCTGATTTGGGCTCCTAATCAGATTAAGGGTGACTGGAGAGGCAGGGATAATGTGGTCAATGGCTCCACTCTCTTTCACTCACACACACACACACACACACACACACACACACACACACACACACAC